GCATCATCTCTTATCACATACACCAGCTCCTTCCTGCATCTTCAACGTACTGTCAGTGTGGGTCTCCCAAATCTCCTCCACCAAGTTTTAACCTTACTCAAACGTCTCTGAGTATTACACCAGAATCTCTTCATTTCCATCCCATGTGACCGGTTGCACATGAAAAAAGCAGCACATGGTTTGTTTGGCTTGAAAACCAGTTTCTGCTTACTGGCCAGCTAGTACACAAGCACACATTAGCCAGGAAACAGTAAGGCAAAGTAATTAGAAATAATATTCTGTATTTTATTTGTTTGTTTCCAACACTGTCATGTATTTGACATCTAAACACTAGGATTTTTTCCCCTCTCATTAAAACTATTCTAAAAATTATAAAGTTATTTTCTATAAGTTACAGAAAACTTACATAAAAGCAGCCATATATAGTACTTCTGTTTGTACTTTACTAGCTGAATTGCTCTCCTTTGGTCAGGACAGATGGGTTTCATAAGTCTGTGGCAAAATCCCTATCGCAACTGTAATCAGCAGTCTAAGCTGTAACTAATTTGCACTCTCTGAGAAAGTAGCTTCTGAACAATCAAAGATTTGAAATAGTCTGATTTCAGAGACATCTGGGAGAAAGGCTTTCCACAGCCTGGTTAACATGACATATTGATAGTTACATATGCAGTATAAGATAACTCATATTGTTAAATATATTAGGACAGATCTCTTCCCCACTCCCTTTGCACAGCTTATATAGACGGGGCTTTTTACTACTAGTCTGCAACATAAGCAAATTCTCAGCACGTATAAAGCAAGCAAATCCATTCTTACATCCATCTCTTCACTGGCCCAGACAGAAGGGCACCATTAAGATCATCTGGTATAGGATAAGGCATAACCTCGTTCAGCAATCCATGCCTAGAGAGTTACTTGAGCATGCTAGGGCACACAGATTCATACAGAAAATAAGTATGGAGCAACAGCTTCATGATGGCTCCTTGATGAAGCAAAAAATCTCCACTCTTCTATTTCAGACTACAATTAAGTTCTGGCTGGTCTGATACTGAACAGAGCATAAAGTTCTTCTCTTTATATGTCTAGGTTCTTGTGCCCTGGCCAGCTTCGTGGTATTTGCAGGGTTCTATGCTTTCAATGAACATTACAGGGCAAAATAAAGACTACAAAATGCAAACCAGAATTTTCTTTTAAATCAGACTTAGAAGTACACATGAAAAAACCTGCCTTAGGTACGCTTTATTTTGTACTAACAGTGTAACTAGTAGTAACACAGTGATACACTGAGGATAATTGTAACAGCTTTAACATTGGGAAACAAGTTGTTTGGTTACTTTTCATGGTTGCTAATACAAAAATATGGTAGATCACATTCTTAAATAGGAGTTTCACAGCTTCGAAGGTAGCAAAATGCAGTAAAGAAGAAATAGAATACTTTTCCTTGTATAAGAGCTTACAACTGTGTGTCTGGTACCAGCACTTTTGAAGAAGAGCTGGTCAAGCCACTTGAAGGCAAGGATACCCGAAACCCAGCCTCCTTGGGAAGGCAAGAATGGAGTCATACAATCACATCCCATTATGTCAAAACACATATGGCATCCACTAGTATTAACAGCATATTGAAATCCCCATTGCACTCCCCAGTAAATCTGCAAACGGAGGTTATACTGAAAATCCATCTAATCACCATCCTCTAGGCCTTACTGTAAAAAGAACCATTCATTTAAAAAGAACAGGCCAAGGAAAAACAAAAACACGAACAAAAGCAACTGAAACCCCCCCCGCCCCCCAGCTGTGTGCTGCATGTCACATACAAATACTTGCTCAGAAGTGCAGTGGCAGTATCATAGCAATGGACTGATACATCACTAAATCAAGAAAGCTCAAACAAACCAGGTTCTTCAGAAGCAATCAGAAGAATTAGTCAAGACACACATTGGCTAATGCATGCAGATAATGAAGGAAGAAAGGGGGAAAAGAAATTCTCTTAGACTTTTATCCTCATCAATAGGAGAAAGCTTCACAAGAAACTTGGGCTGGAAGGCAACTTGGGTTATTTGTGATTATCAGGAAGGTGGGTAAAGAGTAAGCAAGATAAAGGCCAATAAGTAGGCAGACTTCAATAGTCCAGAAAAACTAGTAGGTTAAATTGCATAGAAAAGGGAAACCTAAAAAGGAACAGAAAAGAATTCAGCTGAACTAGCAGTTTTCATATAGAAATTACATTACGTTAATTTGCAATTCTGCCCTTGATGAAAGGGAAGAATAGGCAATACAGTAAGAGATCAACTTAGCTACTTCAGGAGCTCTTCATTGAGCTCAGACACAAAAAGCAGAATACAGAAAGTGCAAATTAGGTCTGATTGCTACTGACAAGTCTAAAGGAACGCAGCATGTAGGGGCACAATCAGAAAAGGGTCAAGTGCAGGATGAGACAACTGGCAAGGGATGCCAACGATAACAAGAAATTGCTCTGCAAATATTACTACGAAAAACACTTAAGAATGTCAGGATGGCTTGCTACTCAGTAGAGAAATAAAATTATACACAGAGTATGAATAAATTCTAGATGTTTATTGCTTTTTATTTTTTTTTCATTAACTTTCATCACTAGGGTCACTTGTAAGCTGCAGTTACTATTCCCTTTAGCTTACTGCTTCTAAATCAACTGGGCTCAATTTAGTACCTCTGCCATTAAAAGAAAATCATAATTATTTGTTGATATTTTCATCAGTAATAACAAGTGTCAGATGATATATTAAGAAGAAGCAGCTGAGCGAATGTATGCATGAGAAAGAGCGCTGTGCAAATCAGGTCATGGCACGAGTGTACCTGAAGGTGCAGTGCCTACAGGGATAATGCTGAAGGTAAACTTGAGGTATATATCCCTCCTATCTGTGTGCCAAAGGTGTGCTCCTGAAGGGAACTGGCTGACTTCTAAAAAAAGCCCAGGGTGTATGCACATCCATAGAGTGTGCAGGAACAGGAGACCAGGCCCTGGAATAAAATAGGAAATGCATCAAATGAAAGGATGTCTCCTCACTCCCCTCATTCTTGGCAGAATAAGTGAGTGCTAGGTTGACAAAAAGATGAAGTGAGCAACTATCTTTAAAAAAACAGGGTTAAGAGGGCTTCCTTTTTCTCTAAGGAGAAGAAAAAACCAAAGGACTTATAGACCACTCAGTGTAGGAGAATATAGGAACACTCAAACAATTTTTAAGTGCTTAGAACAAGAACATAACCAGTAGCCAAGATATATCAAGAATAACCCATATGCAGTGTAATTTCCTTCTGGGAAAAGGAAAAGAGCAGTAACAGCTCTTATGGATGGATGAAAAGTAACCATTGCTATATAACTTCTCTTTAGTGTGGCATTTGTTACCATCTCACATGACATTCTCATAAGCTACCAGCAAATAAGTTGAGTTAGAAGAAACAAGCACCACATGGATGTGAAACTGTTTGAAAAGCTGAACTTGGAGTTATATACCAAAACAGAAGAACACACCAGCATTGTGTTCCACAGGGGTTTGTCCTGAATCTGACGCTTGTTAATACTTTCATTAACAACTCAAACAGAAGAATGGAGTATACGCTTATTAAATTTGCAGAGGCATAAAGCTAAGCAAATTAAAACTGCATCAAGAGAACAAGACTTCAATTCCAAACAATACTGCCAACTTGGCAAAGTGACACGAAGAATTTGAGTAAGGAATGGTCAGAGGCTCTTTGTTGCAGCAGGAACAATTATGTGAGCCCACAGAGAATGGGGAACGACTGATTAGGGAACAGTTCTTTAGAAAGTCATCTGGGATTGTTCTGGATCATAAACTGAACATAACAACAACATGTTGTTGCATAAAAAGTCATCATTACAATGGGAGGCATAAATGCAGTATAATCCATTATGAA